ACAAAACAGTGAAGTTCACCATTTGAATGCCCCTTTACATGTTATATGTAATACTTCACATGAACATGTTATAAAGCCATTTAGGATTTCGAATTTTTGGACCAAACATGAAAGTATCAATAGTTTAGTTACTGATGTGTGGAAAGAGGAGAAGATAAATGACAACACTTTTTAGGTGGTTCATAGTAAGATGAAATGGGTTAAAATGGAGTCGTCAAAGTGGTGCAAGAAGACATTCCGCAATGTTTTTCAGAAAATAGCCACATTAGAGAATGTGATAAAAGTGAAGGAAATTAAAATAGAAATAGCACCCACAAAGAGCTATAGGTTAGAATTGCACAAGAAGGACGCAGAACTGAAAAAATATAAGCGTATAGAAGAAGAATTTTGGAAATAGAAGTCGAGAATAAAATAGTAAGGACGGGGACAAGCCACGAGATTCTTGCATGCTTATCTGAAGGAAAAAAGAAAAAAGATGCAGATTAATGTAACCCATACAATGTAGGGAGACATGATCACCACAACTTAGAACATTAGGGAAGAAACCGTTAATGTTTTCAAAAAATAGTTAAAGGAGGAACAAGAGGTTACTAATTACACCATGTTAATTAACACACATCCCTTTTGTTATCACAAAGGAGAAGAATTACATTATGGTTAGAATACCTACTAAAAAAGAAGTTAAGAAGGAGGTATTTGCTCTAAATAGGGATAGTACAAGTGGTCCAGATAGTTTTTCAGGCTTGTTTTTTCAAAGTTGTTGGGATATTGTAAACAAAGATGTGACCAACATGGTGAAGGCATTCTTTTGTGGGCAATAACTTCCTAGATTTATTACACACACTATTTTGGTACTGATTTCTAAGAAGGAGAAGGTGAGCACTTTTAGGGATCTCATACCAATAAGTCTTAGTAATTTTACGAATAAGATCATCTCCTAAGTGGTTTATGAATGAATTGTCACAATGTTACATGAATTGATCTAAAAAAATAGATAGGATTTGTAAAAGGGAGAAGTATCACAGAAACTATATTGTTGGCACAAGATATAGTCAGAGATATCAACAAAAGAAAAACCAGAATGTAGTGGTGAAGTTGGATATGACAAAGGCTTATAATAGAGTGTCGTGGAATTTCTTGGTGAAAGTAATGCGAAACTTTGGATTCGCTAAAACAATGATAGATATTATTGTAAGACTCATTACCAATAACTAGTATTCTTGTAACGACCTAACTTCCTTCGTTAAGAAAAAGCTGACGGGGAAAGAATTGGGGCCAGAAAACTTTTCAATAGTAACTTGAGATTTCCTAGCCTAGTCCGAATTCAAACGAAATCGGAGTCAGTGACGTCTAGGGAAATATGATAATAAATGAGAGATATTAGTGAATTTACTACATAGGTAGATAACTAAGACGTTAAGGAACTCGTACGACTTTACGATTTGATTTGGATGAGTAAACTCTCAAAATTTTCTGAGTGTCATGGGATGATGGTGTATTATGAAATGGGGATTTGGAATTCTTAATTTTTCTCACTGTTTCCTTTTTTCAAGCCAGTGGCAGGATTAATCCTGCTAGGACGGGACGCTATGGCGGGTTGGGGCCGCCATAGCGGGACAAACGCGACTTAAGTCGGAAATAAAACCTCAAAAATGTTTTATTCTACACTTTTTGACTTTGAGAGCTAAGGAACGACTTTACTGTACTCTAGACAAGTTTTCACCATTTTTAAGACTAAAGGTAAGGTTTTACTCCCCGAATCTATGTTTCGATCGATAGAATTAGTTTCTTGGGTAACTATCGATAAAGAAGGGTTTAATCTGCAAATTATGATTGGGAAGACCCTAATCTGGGTATGTGTAATTGATTTTATTATAATCCATATAATTAGACCTTTGATTGTTGATCCTCACGTATAATTGTTGTTTGTGGACTTAGAACAAGCATAAAGAATCTGAAAAGGGAAGATTCAAGTGCCTTAGGGGTTCAAGCTTGGATTCGAGGTAGGTGATGGTTGTGATTTCATATTAGTGTGATATATGTTTGTTCTTTCTTCATTATGACACATGTATGTATGTGAATGTTGTGTCATTGATCACACTACTCGTAAATAAGGATGATTAAATAATGGCATGTCATGAAATCATGAATTGATTGTATGAAAATAAAAATTTACATTATGATTGTGATTGTGACTTGTTGAATGGATCGGGTGTTACATTCCGACACACTAACTTTGATTTGTCACATTCAAGCATGAACATGGAATCGATTACCACGTTCTGGCATAAATATTGGATATGGTACCATATTCGGATATGCTAACAGTTTGGGTGTGGGTTCCATGAAAAGACCATTGAATTGGCATAACTATAAATCTTGACAATTGTAAAGTTGTGCGTTGTTCGTAAGTGATGACTAATATTGTATATGCATGTTTGTTATTGTTGTAATGACTTATACATGTTTCACCTTTTGGGATAAGTGTGTGATCCTACCAGTACACTGTGGTTGTGTACTGTTACTGCACTTGCTTATTCTTTGTTGAGTACCATCATCGTCTTCAGGCAGCTATTGATAGACCTCTATTGAGCTTGACCAATTTCAAAGGCGAGTCAGTTTTTTCTAGCTGCCATGGATCTTCCTTGTTTAAGTGTACTCTTTTCGGACTTACACTATTTGTTTAAGGTGTTTTTTAGTCTCGCGGTTGTACTCCTTGCTACTAGACTTATCGTTAGTAGAGTTTTGGTACAATGATTTTAGGTTCTAAGGGTTAAGACTTTCGCATTAGTTTTGGTTATGGAGTTTATGGGAACTCCGTATTTTGGGATAATGCACAAGTACCCCCTCAACCTATGCCCGAAATCCCAGAGACACACTTATACTATACTAAGGTCCTATTACCCCCCTGAACTTATTATATAAGTAATTTTCTACTCCTTTTTAGCCTACGTGTAGTTTGAAAAAAAAGTCAAACTTTATTGGGCCCACAAGATAGTGCCACGTAGGTCGAAAAGGGGTAAAAAATTATTAATAAAATAAGGTCAAGGGGGTAATAGGACCTTAGTATAGTATGAGTGTGTCTCTGAGATTTCGGGCATAGGTTGAGGGGGTACTTGGGCATTATCCCCCGTATTTTTATTCTCATTTAAACCTGCTTTTTTATCTTTAACTGTCTTAGTTTTCAAAATTTGTTAACTGGATTATACTAATGAATTTTCCACGGGAGGGTTAGCTGGTGAAGAAAGTCATGAAGAGAATGAACAATTGGAAAAATAAGCTATTATCCTTTATATGAAGGTACGTTCTTATTGCACATGTGTTATAATTAATACCACTCTATTTACTACATATGCCATGAAATCTCTTAAAGGTGTATTAGACCAGTTACAAAAGATTTTTGCAAAGTTCTTTTGGAGCAACTCAACATGATATAGACATAAGCATTGGGTGGCCTAGGAAAAAATGTGTTTTCCAAAAGAGAAGGGAGGTTTAGTATTCAGGTCATTGCATGATGCATCAAAAGCTTTTAGTGCAAAACTTTGATGGAATTTCAGAAGTGCAACAACTTCATTATGGGCATCCTATATGTGGAACAAGTATTATAAAAAAAAAAAGCATACTATAGAGCATAACATTTGGTGGCTAGTTAAATCGGGTAATTCTAATTTTTGGTTTGATAATTGAACTAAACTAGGGGCATTGTGGCATGTGGAGAATACTAATGCAGGGAAGAATTAGAGGTAATTTTACAGTCAATTCAGCCTAGGAAATAATCATATCCAAACATGAAAGGAAGGCATATTATCATTTATATGGAATAAGGGGCTACCTTTTAAAGTGAATTTCTTCTGGTGTTGTGGAAAAAAAGAATTTCGACTGATGATAATATGAAGATGATGAAAATTCAGATAGCGTCTTGATGTTGATGTTATTCAGATAAGAAGGAGGAAGTAATGACACATGTTTTTCTAACAACCCTCCATAAACATCATGCTTTAGAAGCAATTTGCTAATTTTGTAGGTATAAATATGGAGAACAAGCAATTACAACACCTAATAATCACCTGGTGGAAGCAAAATCAGAATGCCAAATTGAAAGTGGTGTTGAATGCAATGCCAACAATCACCTTGTGGACAATATGGAATAGGAGGAATAGCTTGAAGCATGAATGAACTACCACATACAATGAAATAGTGATGAAAGTACAAGAAGCAGTGAGGAAGCTCATCAAAGTATTATACCCCTGGATACATCTTAGGAATGACACATGGCCCCAGATTGTCACAAATTTAAAAGAGTACAAGCCTAAACTATATGATCACTATGTAATTCGAAGGAAACCTGAAAGAAATAGAGTAAAATGCAAAACAGATGAGGAGACAAAAGAAAATCTCGGTGCAAAATCAATAGGTTTTGTGGTGAGAGATGCGGAAGGAGACCCGTTATATACAAGGGTGAAAAGAATAGGCGAAGCAAACAACATGGAAACATACATGGAAACAAAATCTCTTACTTTGCTAGAAGCAGTTCACTATTGTCAAGAGGAAGTTTTAAGAGAGGCTATAATAGATTCAGGCTCACTATGCGTAAAAATTGGTGGAACGAGAGTGGAAAGTATCGTGGGACATAGTAGAAAGAACTGAGGAAATCAGGAAGGTCATTCAACCATAAATGCCTAATCACACATACTTTTAGAGAAGGAAATTTTGCGATAGACTCTTTGGTTAATGAAGTAGTAGAATCGCAGGAGACAAAAAACTATCAATTTTTTCAAGAGCTACCAAGCATTACAAGGAAATATCTAAATATAGAAAAGGCGCATACACCAACTAGAAGGTGAAAACACACAAAATGAACATTCAATGGAAGCAGTGCAGGAACATAAAGGAAATAACATAAATAAACATCACGGAGATAGTCACGTAAACAGAATGCATATTTAAAAAACATCAGACACAAGAGGAAGCATAAAGCACAAATATTTCAAGATGAAGTATGCTTCTTAGAGGGAAGTAAAATTGAGCAAAACAAAGCTACAAATAGAGTTTCTAGCTATAAAAGAAACTTTAATATAAAGGGGGCTTGTTGGTCAAATTATTTGAGTTGGGAGTTAATGACACCAGGAATAAACGGAACATCAAGCGCACAATCGGAGTCAAATATGAGCAAAAACGAAGCCCACCTATGATCCCTTGGGACTACACCTCGATCTGAAAGGGAACGAGAATCAGTAGCTCATACACGAAAGAAAAAGAAGGATATAAGGACGAAAATCTTACATGTAAGCAAGGAGGGCGGTAGAACTTCAAAGGCATTCAAGGAGCTAGATGGAATGATACCACGTCAAAAATCACAAAGATTACTTGGTCAACCATGAAGGAGACAACTTAGAAACGGCGGAGAAAGGATGGAAATGGGGTAGGGTTTTAAGAAAGTCAAGTGAAAGGATAGTTGATGGAAGAGTTTTGGAAACTCTACATATTATTTCCTTTTGGACCCGGGTACTACTTTTTGGGCCAAGTCATTTGTTGTTTCATGTACTAATCGGGCATTAGCCTACACTAATAAGATGATCTTCTATCAAAAAATTAATTTTAAAAAACATTTTAGTGAATTATGATTATACAAAGTAATAAAAAATCTTAATCGAACATACCAAGAGGTTGCTAAGATATCGGAGATAACAATATTAGATTAAACCATCATAAGAATCAATAATAGATTCAAATACAAACATCTACTGCAATTTAAAATAATTCCCCAAAATATCAATAGGTAATGATGACCTTTTGTGGATATTTTCAGATTAATAAAAGAGATCATAAAACTCTAGATGAGGAATTCAACGGCTCAGGGGGAAAGAGAACCATGAATAGAAAAATCCCAAGTTGAACGATTGTTATAGAGTTTGAGAGCGAGAAAACAATTAAACAGATGAATATTTTTAAATATTAAAAAGAAATAGAATAGAAATGAGATTTAACGAGTGTAGTATAAAAAACTTTACACTATAGTGCACACAAGTTAATTCTCCTATTTCAAATAGTTAAAAGAATAATTTTGGCCCTTTTTGTGGCTTAAAAAAAGGGGCATTTTCCCTCCAAATCGAATTCCTCAAAAATTCACGACAGCAGCACACGACTATCATGATTGCACATAACTTGTATTTGAATTAGTTTTAATTATCTCTTTATCTTTACTCCAACTCCACGTCTCTCTCCCCTCTCTTTTCTAGGGTTTTTTGGATCTCTCTCTTATCCCACTTCGCCACTTCTAGGGTTTCTTCCAACCAGTAAGTTTCCTCTTACTCCTCTCTGTTTACATTCATTCATGAAGATTTTAGGTCTGATTTTGTTTTGTATTGTTCCATTTGTCTATTCCTTCAATTATGGTTGCATTTCCTTCTTTTTTTTCATCATTTGAATGATATTTTCTGCTTCGTTTTAACGAATACTGAGACTCACTTTTAAGTATTTGAATTAGAATATAGTTTATGTTTCAGTGTAGATTTTGATGGAGTTCAATGAGTTATGCCTCAAATCTTAGAATAGTTGATGTAGACAATGTGAATCATTTGTATCTGTTCTGCTCTATGTGTGCCAGTTTTTAGTTTTGTTTAGTATATTTAGAAATGGACATTGAAGGGAAATGCATTTTTTAATGATGGCCTTAAGGATGAAGGTGTTTGGTTGGATTTTGTTTGTACTAAAATGGAAGAAATGTGATATAGTGGGATTTGTGAACTCTTATTCATGGCTCTGCTGGTTACACTTATTCCTTAAGACCTTCAGTGGCAAGTATTATTGTTTTTGTTTTTCTGTAGTACTCTGTAGAAAACTTGAGAAGTCCCAGTGATTTGAAAGAGGCATGCTTAGTTCTTGATGGCTCCTTCTATCTAACAACGCCGGACAAATGAAATAGTACAAAATTTGTTTTGATTCCGTGATCGATCAATCTTCGTCTTCAAGAGGAAGGGAGTGAGGGAGAAGCAAAAGATGGAGTCTTTAGTCCTGTGGCTATCTGAAAATTTTCCCATTAATCAACACAAAATGCCAATAAATCTATTTCTTATTTTCTCTTGAATTCTATTTGAATTATTGCTTGATGCAAGGGAAAAACCAAATGCTATAAACTCAAAAACTTTGAGATATGAACTCAAAAACTTGCTCGAACCTTGACTAATTCCATGTGGTACCTTCTACCTTCACCAACACAATTACCAGTTAACTCTGTCAACCAAGGCTTAAACAAATAAGAAGAAATCACCTAGTGTTTTTGCTGCTGATGGAAAATGAACTCATGATCTCATGGTTCTCAACCCCTTTCCTTGACCACTGGGACACACCCTTGGGTGCCTCAAGCATAATGAGTTTTTGTGTGATATTTGCTCACAAACTTTAGAAATTACTTTGGGAAGTAAAAGAATAGTCATCTTGAATCATGGATAGTAGCTTATCATAAAAGTGCATTTTCTTTTTATTTGGAGATGAGATGGCAGCAAAAATGGAATAGTTCACCACCTTTTGTGAGCCTTTTGGCCCTCTACAAAAGGGAAACAATAATACTTCAATAGATTAATCGAGCTCTTAGCCTTCTAATGGTAAGTGCTTAGATTTGCTCAACTGACAAGATATAACGGTTAAAAGTCTGAAGTCAACTTCCTTTTTTGGATCAAATATATGATTTATCATTTAGTTAAATACATTGTATTTGGTGCACAGGGGAGATGTTTCGTTTGAGGAAGATATTACCTTATTGCACCAGTGTGATGCTTGTATGTAATTTTAACTCTTGTGTCTGTGTTTTGCAACTTATGACCATGACCTGAATGTCAATATGCACGATCCTTACTGTTATCATATGACTAATATCATTTTAGAAGTCTTGCATTTATTGGTCATTCTGCTAGTGCAGTGAGATAAAATAAATCTGCTGATCAAGTGACTGCAAACAAGATGCCATCTGTACTTATTTTATGTGCATTGCAGCACCTCAGCTGAAAAGCTTGGAAGGTGCTGAGAAAAGACAAGAAATTGGAACAATTTAATATTAACTGACGTCAAATGTCAGAACTCAGAACTGTTTGTTGCTACTTGCTTGTTGTGGGACAACTCATGTTTATTATCCTGAGGATATATACTTGTAAGAAACATTATTCAAATGATAGACTATGGAAGAAATCTTCCTTTTTCTTTGAAACTCAAAAGTAACAGTGCTGTGTGGAAAATAGCGAAGCTTGTTGCTGATAATGCTTGGTGGTTAATTGTTAGTCTTGTTTCCCATAGTACTTTCTTGTGGAAAGTACCACTAGGCAGGTGCGGATCCACATAGAGCTTCGGTGCTCGAGCACCCATGGACCCCTACGTGAAATGTATATAGGTATATAAAAAATACTATGCAACCTATATAATTAATTAGTAAGCACCCGTTAAATAACTGTTGGATGTGACTCGTTGGTTAGTAAGTGGGTGCTGAAGCTGTGGTACCGCAGGTCACGAGATTGATCCTCCACAAGTAATTTTTATATACTTATTAAGCTGTCTAATTTTCTATGTTTAGCATAAGATATTCACGAGTGTAAGAGATGTTATTATTACTCATTTTAATTTTAAAATGCGAAAAGTCGTCGAGTACATTATAATTTGACTCAGTCTTCTTTCCCGATAGTAATATTAAACATGACTTTTGCGTTAATGTTTTTCACTATTGTGTTTAAATAGTATTTGCACTTGTACTAAATGAACAGTAAAATTTAATGTTAAAAAAAGTGAAGCACCTACTAACTTCAGATCCTTGATCCGCCACTGCCTCAGATCCTTGATCCGCCACTGCCTCTAGGTATATCTTATCAATGTGTAATCATTTATTGAAGTGGGTTGGAATAGAATTATTTGTGATTGTAGTAATGACATATTAGATTTGATCTTATTCTGATCACGCAGGTGCTTTGGCATAATCTTTGCACTTATTTAGATGTTAAGAAAGTTATTGGATAATCATTTTCTTGCATGTGCCTGTAGAAGGATTCATTTTCCTTCAAGTTTCCTACACATTTTGGAGGATTTAACATAGAGGAAGGTTTTTACCATTTTTCAGACAACTTTCATAAATGCAAGAAAGTTAACCATCTGGCCCCTTTCTTGGCAACCACACCATAGTGTTAGTGTAACAATTTGTTGGGCTTCTTTTGGAAAGAAAATGCTCACTAATTGGAAAAATAAATAAAAGCACATCGACAATTGTTGAAGTGCTTATCTTTTGAGCTCAGTCACTGACATGCTGAAAACATACATATGTACCCTAAGTTGCTCGGACTTGGGTGCGATGTCTGATACGCGGGTGTTGATCTAGATGTCGGATCCTTCATGATCAAAATTTTACGATCCAGGGGTTTGTATACCGGTGCAAGGTTCAGCTAAAATAATTTAAATATCTAAATGTTGGATCCTTTATGAGACATTATGTTGAAAACGTCAAGGTATTCCGTGGAGAAAATACTAATCAAGAGGAGAATCCCAAAAGGAAAGAAAATAAAAGGAAAAAGGACTGACATAGAAATTTCTATTTACAAGCTATTTCATTTTCTTCAATTTCATCCTAGTTTTTGTTTTGATTACAGAAATCACAGGTATCTGTACTGAATTTCTCAGTCAATTTTGGTCAAATTATTCAAAATTGGTTGACCAAATCCATTAAGGATCCCACACCCCATGTCGTATCGACATGGATGCAATACCAGAAGTGGAGTCCGAACAACTTAGCAGTTCCAAGCACATTTGTTATTGTTTTCCTTGTACTTGGAAGCCGTTATGTTCAGTATTAGTGCTGCAAAAACTCAAAAGTTTATTAGAGAGTGTCCTTGAATAATTTTTGCAAAATTTTAAACAGAATATATGGTTGAGCATCTCCTTACGCTTCCTTTGTTGTATGAAATGATCTTCTGATTGCAACTTCTTTTCCAGGCTATTGAAGATGGATTCTGCAGGATTCTCTATGAAGCTGTGGCCCCCAAGTTCGAGTACCAGGCTAATGCTCGTGGAGAGAATGACCAAGAATCTTATTACTCCATCCATCCTATCCAGGAAATATGGTCTTTTGAGTAAAGAAGAAGCTGAAGAGGATGCCAAACAAATAGAAGCTCTGGCTTTTGATTCTGCCAATCAACATTTTGACAAGGAGCCTGATGGCGATGGAAGTTCTGCTGTGCAACTTTATGCTAAGGAATCTAGTAAGCTCATGTTAGAAGTTATTAAAAGAGGCCCTCAGACAAAGGAATCTGCAGAAGGTATTGTATCTGAGAAGGTTAAAGCATCTAATGAAACTACTATTTTTGATATATCCAAAGGTAGACGGGATTTCATAAGCGCAGAAGAGGCGTCTGAGTTGTTGAAACCATTAAGTGAACCAGGGAATAATTATAAAAGGATAT